CAGATTGATAGCTGACATGCTGTCTATCTTCATGGTAATTGCTCCATGATTTTTCCCTGTTATCTCTTCGACCAAGTTCACCATCCAAGTTGCTTGACATGCACAAAGAAAAGCAGCTATGTATTCTGCTTCGCATGATGATAATGCTACTACTGGTTCCTTTCTTGAATTCCAAGCAACTGGTGCACCACCTAGCATAAACACATATCCTGCTGTTGACTTTCGATCTTCAGCATCACTACACCAACTCGAATCAGTGTATCCTACTAACTTGCATTCTTTTCCTTTATCAACTGCAGGAAACAAAATGCCATAATCGAAAGTTCCTTTGAGATACCTTAGTATCCTCTTCACTGCTGTTAGATGTGATACCTTTGGCTTCTGCATGAATCTACTTACCATACCTACACTATATGCTAAGTCAGGCCTTGTATGACAAAGGTATCTCAATGATCCAATAAGTCTTCTGTATTGGGTTGGATCAACATCATCTTCATCTGCATCTTTCGACAGTTGCAGTCTTGGTTCTGCAGGTGTCGAAGTTGAGTTATATTCTTCCATCTCAAACCTCTTGAGAATTTCTCCTGCATATCTTCTTTGATGCATCATCAAACCTCGACTTCTCTTGTAGAATTCAATACCAAGGAAATATGAAATCTCACCCAAATCAGATATTTCGAATTCCTTACTAAGATCACATTTGAAGTCTTCGATCTCACTTTTACAGCTACTTGTTATCAACAAATCTTCTACATAGAGACATAGTATAAGCAATTTACTCTTGCTTCTTCTTACATATACTCCATGTTCAGTTGTGCACTTCACAAATTTCTTCTCCCTTAGAAAACTATCAATTTTCTTATTTCAAACTCTTGGAGCTTGTTTTAATCCATACAGGGTTTTATGTAGCCTGTACACCTTTCTTTCTTCGTCATGTTTCACAAACCCAACTGGTTGTTTAACATAAACTTCTTCATCTAAGGGTCCATTTAGGAATGCACACTTCACGTCCATCTAACATATGTGCCAACTGTTTATTTCTGCTAGACCAACAACCAACCTGATTGTTTCGATCCTAGCAACAGGTGCAAAAACTTCATCGAAGTCTATTCCTTCTTTCTGTAGAAATCCTTTCGCCACAAGTCTTGCTTTGTGTCGAGTTACTTCACCTTTCGAATTTGTTTTCACTTTGTATACCCACTTGACATCAATTGCCTTCTTTCCTTGAGGCAATTCGACAAGTGACCAAGTGTTGTTGTCTTCGATAGACTTTACTTCTTCGTTCATTGCTTTCACCCACTTCGAATCCTTTAATGCTTCAGCTGCATTAACAGGTTCGACATCTGCATAGAAAGCATAATGTACCAGCTCACCTTCATTATCTATTACATCATCTGATGTAATCACACAATCTTGCAATCTTGCAGGCATGCGTCTTGTTCTTTGAGGCCTGCTTGTACTTGGTATATTTGATGGTTCCTCTTGTCGAACTTCTCTTTCGACTTGAGTTTTGGGCTCTTCAAGAAGGATTCCCACTTAATCTTTCTTGATATTTTCAGTCCAATCCCATTCTTTAAACTCATCTACGATCACGTCCCTGCTGATCACAGTGTGCTTTTTCACTGGATCGAACAACTTGTAGCCTCCTGTTGAATGATATCCAACTAGAATCATTTGACTTGACTTATCATCAAGTTTTCTTCTCAACTGATCTGGCACATGTCTATGTGCAATAGATCTAAATACCTTCAGATGGATCAAGCTAGGCTTCACACCAGACCAACATTCTTCTAGAGTAATTCCTTCTAGCTTCTTTGTAGGACATCTGTTCAAAATGTATGTTGCAGTCGAAACAGCTTCACCCCAAAACTCTTTAGGTAAATTCTTGCCTTTCAACATACTTCTCACCATATTCATGATGGTTCGATTTTTCCTTTCTGCAATTCCATTTTGTTGTGGAGTATAGGGTGGCACCACCTCATGCACAATCCCTTCCTTTTCACATAATCTGTCGAAGTCTTTCGACACATATTCTCCACCACCATCAGTTCTCAAAACTTTAAGCTTTCGACCACTTTGTCTTTCGACCATAGACTTAAACTTGGTAAATACTTCGATCACTTCACTTTTCTTCTTGATCAGGTAAGTCCATAACTTTCGACTGAAATCATCTATGAATGTAACAAAGTATTTGTTACCTCCCATCGAATCCACCTGGATTGGTCCACATACATTAGAGTATATGACTTCAAGACTAGCCTTCGATCTGCTTCCTGCATCCTTGCTGAAGCTATTCTTGTGTTGCTTCGCCTGCACACATTCCTCACATACCTCGTTTGGAATGTCAATTTCTGGAAATCCTGAAACCATATTTCTTCTCTTCAAATCTCTGATGTCTCTGAAGTTGAGATGGCCTAGTCTATAATGCCATATCCATTCATCTCTCCTAGCTGCAGTCGAAAGGCACTTGTGCTCCATCACATTTAGTTCAATCTTGAAGGTTCGATTCTGAGACATAGGAGCCTTCAAGATTAATCTCCCATTTGCATCAATGACTCTCATCATCTTATCTTCGATTGACACTTTATAATTCTTTTCGACCAACTGCCCTATACTGAGCAAATAGCTCTTCATGCCTGGTATGTACAACACATTGGAGATTACTGACCTTTTGCCATCTTTCCTCATAATCATAACATCAACAATACCTTCAGCTGCTAGGGTATTGTCATTTGCAAATTTTACCATATTTTTCATTGAGGGCTTTATATTGACGAACCAGTCTTTCCTTCCAGACATATGTGATGAACATCCTGAATCCAAGTACCATTGGTCCTTGAATCTATCTTCATCTCTTGTTGTGACCATCATCATCATCTCTTCTTCTTCTTCATGTTTTGCAAGCTTTGCATCACTTTCTTGATTCTTTCGTTTTTCTGGACAATCACTCGAATAGTGACCATACTTCTGACAATTGTAACATTGAATGTGACTCTTATCAGATTTTCGACCACCACCTCTTCCTCTATTTGCAGCACCACCTCTTTGGTTGCCTTGGTATTGTCTTCTTTGATTCGACACAATTCCTTCAATCTGGTTTCCTCTACCATTCGATTTGTTGTAGCCACCTCTACCTCTGTCGAAACACTTTCCTTTGCCTTTGGTCTCTTTTGCTGAATGTGCCTGCAAGGCCACATCACTCTTCGATTTTCCAGCAGCTCTTTCGTTCATTCTTTGTTCATGAGATTCAAGCGTCCCTTAAAGCTCTTCCTTTGTCAATTTCGACAAGTCTTTCCCCTCTTCTATCGCCACCACTATGTGGTCGAACTTAGGAGCTAAAGATCTCAAGATCTTCGACACAACAGCTCTTGTTGTTAACGCTTCTCCACATATCTTGATTTGATTTACTAGTTTTGTAACTCTAGTGAAGAAATCAGATATGCTTTCACTGTCTTCCATCTGAAGCAGTTCATAGGTCCTTTTGTGAGTTTGTAACCTCACTTCTTTCACTTTCTCATCGCCTCCAAAAGACTTCTCAAGGATTTCCCAAGCTTCTTTTGCAGATTCTGAATCACTAACCTTTTCGAAATTGTCTGGGCTGACACATTGATGAATTATAAATAATACTTTATAACTCAGCTTCTCAGATTCTATGTATTTCTTCTTTTCTTCTTTTCTTCTTCTGAAGCGGTTTCTCCAAGCGCTTCGACTCCATCTTTTACAAGGTCTCAAAGACCTTGACACCTGAATAAGACTTTCATTTGTTTGCACCAATTCTCATAGTTGTCAACTTTCAGAATTGGTAGAGTTGCTGGATAATTTGCATTCCCATAACTTGTCATCGTGAATTCTTCAATCGTTCTTGATTGATACTTCCCTCGAATCGAAACAAAGCTCTTGATACGAGATGTTGGAAATCCACCAAATTTTATGATAAATTTCTACCACAATGACAATTTAATTATGAGACAAACAAAGAAAATAAGACAAGACAAATAATTTCTGCAGTGTTTCTCTCTACTCACAAACTGTGAAAACTTTATTATTCACTTTGCAACTGCAAAATACTATGAATGACTTACTTACAAAAATATGGGTTACTCTCTCTATTTATAACTGGGCTTACACCCTAAGTCAAAGCCCAAAATATCTTTTTGTTACTTAATCAAATCTAATTTATTTTAAACTTAAATCAAATCTATTTAAATCTAAAACAAATCAAATCTTTTCGTCACATTGTTTCGATACATTGGATTACAATTTAACAGTTTTAAACTTTTTTAGTTATCTATGAATTTTTCTACAGATTTGACATTATCTGTAGACTTACATGCGAATTTTCCTACAAAATTATCTGCAGGAACCGCATGTAAATCTGCAGGAAAAATCAAATCTGCAGGAAAAATCAAATCTGCAGAAAAATCCACAAATAAATAGAGAGATGTGTGAAACTACAGCTCATTAAAACTTGCATAATTAGAAGATTAAATCTTAGCCCTCCTATCTCTAACAAACTTTTATAAACCAGATTTTTCTCATTTGAGTGAAAAAGCTTTTTCTCTGTTGCTGCTATATTGCATAGCCAGATTTTAGACAGAGGCATACACACTCTTCACACAAAAATAGAGGAAGACTAGGAAATACAACAGAATTTGATTCATTCGTAACAACAATATACACCATAACCACCTCATAAGATCCACAATCACAGAGAGAAAAGCATACAAAAAAAGGATCATGATTCATCTCAAAACTCACTAGAAAAATCACTAGAAAACTCTTTAGAAAAAACTCAGAGCTCTCATCTTTTCTCTACATCCTTCACCATCTTCACCTCTTCCTTCAGCATTATCACCACCAAATTCGCTCTGATCTCACCAGAACCATCACCTTTATTTTCTCAGAACTTCTACAACTTCAATCGCTGCGCATCACCGATCATCATCAATCTGCAAAACATACGAAACTTCAACATACGTTGTATCTTCACAACTGCATCGTCACAAATTTATGCAACGAACATCAATATCATGATTCGCAAACAACTCAACACAAAGAAATGTAGAAAAGGACAGAGGCGAGAACGAAAAATACGCATACCTGAGACGAAGCCAAACGAAAAAGAAATCGGAGTAAGGCTGAGTGAGATGAAATCGCGATCTCGAAGGAGACGATAAGGTGAGTGATGAAGAATGGTGCGTGGTCATGAAGGTCGCGGCGTCGTGACTGAAATCGGAGATCGAAGAAGTCCACTGACGGAGGAAGACGACCGGCGACGTGTAGTCGCGACCGAAGATGAGCGGTGACTCTCGGTCCGGTTGAATGATGAAGAAAAAGAGAGTGTCGTAGAGTATTGAGATGAAGAAGAAGCGTTTTCGTGTGAAGTTGTACTTTCACATTTTGTGAACCCTATCCTTTTGGCCAATATTGCACCGTTTCAATTCTTTTCTTTTTTACTTTAATTTTTTTATATTATTATTTCTATTAAATCCAGTTAAAATAATAATAGAATGTGCTGAAAGTAAGTTTGAGTTTGGATTGGATAATGGACCGAAAATCCACACTAAGCCCAATGGTATTTTGTTTCTCTTTTTTGTAAGCCTGATAGTTGAACAAAATAATCATTGGGTTTTGTTGCTTGACACAAAAAAAAAAAACTCTCCTGGACTCAATCTGGGCGTAACGCCCTTGCGGCTGGTTACACATCAATATTCAGCTTGCACATCCTTGTTATTTGGTTATTTTAATTTCTTTTCAATAGTTTTTTTTTAATTTTTAATTTTATTAATTTTGATAGCATAAAATTGTAATAAAAATTTGATACAAAAAACATGTAGAATATTTTAGAATTTTTTTAGGATTTCTATAGAATTTAATTGAAGTTTTTAATTATTTCTTTTCATACTAATAATCATTTATGTCGTTACTTTCATGCCATTATTTTGTGATAGAAGGTCGCTTTGTGATATTAAGCGCTTGAAGATGAATTCGTTGAATTACTTGTGAAGCTTCTGTAAGCTTTCTTGAGCTTATGTGCGTGCTAAAAAGGAAAGTGACCTTTCTCCATTTGGTATCCCTTGAGATCTCTTTACTATCTCATTTTTGCATCGTTTTCAATTAATTTTGCCATGAGAAGTATGATAGAGATACATGATTGAAAGTACTATTGTCGTAGGCAATGTTTGATTTGGAAGTCTGTGATACGGTAGCAGAACCGACTGTTAATAATGGTTTTGCGTTTGTGTTCGCAAATGTTGCAGTAAGCAAGAGTCGCCACCGACTTTTCTTTTATCCAAATTAAGGAAAGGGTGAAAAGAACAGAAAAAGACCTTTTCGAGAATTTTCTGAGTAGGTGGTAGATTATGGAAAGGGAAGGTGTTAGCACCCTTTTCATCCGTAGTTATCTACGGGCTCTTAGATGCTAGCTCATGTTTTGAAAATTGCTTATGCTTTGTATTTTGAAAAGTGTTTTGAAATGCTTTAGTACGGCGATTCGCTTTGTGATAACTCTTGTATCAGTCCTCAAGAGTGTTGACAAAGCAAATGTTTTTTTGAAAGTCGTTTATGAAATCTGTAAGTGTAAAAAGTTTATTTTATTTTGAGCAAGCATATAATAGCTATCTACTTGTACTCAAAAAGATCGTTCTTTTCTCCATATCCTTTAGATAGTGTTATCCTACTATTAGTGAGTAGGTAGCTCTATCGTTGAATGTATGAGGGGCATCGAATGGACGATACAGTCACGAAGGTAACTTGGCAAGGAATTTAGTAACTGTCCTAAAGTTCTAAGATCACTTTTAACCGAGACAACATCGAAAGGGTCATCGAGGGACTTGTGATCTTTCAACTAGAGGACAACCACTAAAACGTCTCATGTTTTGAGAATTGTGACCGTTTTCCGAAAGCAACCGATGTGGGGTACTCTAGAGGGACTTTTCTTTTATTTTCAGTCTTGCCATGCAATCCTAGTTACTAGCAGTTAATATATACAGAAGAATGTAAAGTACGAAAATAAACCTTACTCTATTACATGGCTTTGGGGAGGGGATATTTACAATGTACAAAACTTGGGAGTGCAGAAATTAAATGCAGAAAATAAAGCCTAATTATTATTACATCCTATAAGCAGTTACATTATTATAAAAAATGCAAGAAAACAAACAACGCGCGAAGGTTGAAAGTTCGTCTAAAAACCCTAAGAAGAAAATCTTTTTTTGTTTGTCTTTTGATTTAAGAAAATAATTAAATTAAAATTATCCTAAAACCTATTTAGAAAATAAAATTAATTTAAGAAAATAGTCTAAGCTTATTTTTTATTGCTTTTTTTTTGTTATGAAAAGAAAATAAATTAAACATAAAATTAAACCTAAGTTCTAGGTCATTTTAATTTTTTATTTTAAAAAAGGTTTAAAATTAATTAATTAATTTATTTCAGAAATTAATTATTTAATAATAAAAAAAACTAATTCTATGTTTTTTTATAATTTTATTATTATTTTACTAATTAAATAGATAATAAAAGAAAAAAAAAAATTAAAACAAGACAAAAAAGTAAAATGGGTTTGGATAACAAAATTAAATGGGTGGGGGTTGTTTGGAAAGTTGCTGGGCCCAAAGCTGAAGCCTAGATTTGTCTTTATATCCAGTGAGGAATGCTTTTGGAAGGTGCATGGTGCTCTGCATATGGGAGGCGTTAGATCCGATCAGGTGTACATCTGATGGTCATGATTTAGGGCATATGATGGACCTGCATAGCTCTTGCGTATTGGATTTGTATTACACAAATGTTAGAAAACAAAATGCTGGACCTGGGATTCAAACCCAGGCCCCCTCCCTTTCACACGCGTTGCCTTGCCAACTGAGTTGCCTTACCATTCGTGTATCCTAGTCAACGCACAATATTATATGCAAAGCAAAGCCAGATATATTTAAAAAAATGAAAATGTGTGCGCTAAGTCATCATCTTCTTCGTTTGGTCCCAGACTTTTACTGACGGACTTTCCGTTGGTAAAAGTTTTAGTGACGGTTTTCCGTCGTGGCTACATCCCTGCAACATTCAAAGTGTAAAATACCAATGATAAATTCCACACAAGGGCATAGTTCGACTGAAAATCTCCTTCTGAACGCCATGGTATAATTAATTTTGTCCAATTTTACCTCTAGCTAGGGTTCCCCAAATTGAAGCTTCGGAACCCTAACAATGGCAACTTGTTATATCTGCACTCAAGCTTTGATTAAACTATCTAGAAAAATTCCCATGATGATCATGAACACAAATATGTTGTCAAATCATATTTACAATGAATGAATGAAATCGAAATTGAAAAAGACAAGAGCAAACCGTGAGTGTATGAATCATTTCCTGATGCGTCAGGGCTCGAGGGTGATCGTGAAACCTTCAGTGATGTCCAGGGTTAGTTGCTGAATTCTCAAAAGCCTCTGAATTGCCCTGGAATTTGAAAATGGATTTTGACTTTCTCTTGAAAATTTTAAGTTTGGAATGTGGTCTCTAGGCTGTTTTTTCGTGTCTTTGAAGCTTGCTAGTGTGATATATAGTGGAGATGGAGGGGACAAGAAAGTAAGAATGAAATGGCCATAAACATGTTCTTCAAGGCCATGAATGAGAATTTGAATTTTTGACCAAAGATGTGGAATCTTGTATTTTTTCAAACTTGGATGTATCTAGTCACTAATATACGAATTCATGGGCCTTATGGCTGTCCAAACCATCAGCCCACATGCCAAAGCCTACTTCTAATTATTTTATACATTTTATTTTATATTTATTTGAAATAAATTAAAATAAATATGAATAAAATAGCTAGAAAATCCAGGGCATGATAAGAATGATTTTAAAGGTCCTCTATAAGCTTAGGAAGATGCTTGAAGTCCAAGAAATTAATCCATTGACCTAAAACTTCAAGTTTGCTCAATGCCTAATTCTTGAAATTCCCAAATATTCCCAACTTGGGCAAGCCATAACTTGCTCAATTTTGATCTCATGTTGATGATCTTGGACTTTTTGGAAAGCCCAATATGTCTACTTAAATCCCTATTTTGATCAATTTTGCATTTGAATATTTTAACTTGATGTAAAAGGTCTTGGAAAAAAGTGACTTTTGTTGACTTTTTGAAAATGACCTGTAATGTATGAGCTTGTATCTTTCAAATGGTGCATTTCTTGGACTTGATGGATGAAGAGAAGTTGTAGGGAATTAGATTCTATTCAATATGAGCTTTTTTTTGGGATAATGGATGAAGTATGTGAAAGTTATGCCTAGTCAAAGTTTGGTTGACTTTTCCTATAGAAACCCTAATTTAGCAATTCTTGACTTTTGAAAAATTGAGAGAATTTATTGAGGAATCATGAGAAACCCTTGATAAAATGATGGATATCACTTCAAAATGTTGATGTTGACCAAAAATCTTGAAGTTTGACTGTACATGGGCCACAGTTGACTTTTGACCTAATACAGTTGATTTCCAAGCATTTGAGCAATTGACTGGGCAAACTTGTAGTGGAAGGCATGAAATTTGTCATGAACAATCTTGAAGGCTTAACAGGACCATGGAAAACATTTGGGACCTTTGGAGCTCACATTACATGATGAAAAATGAAACCCTGGCTAGAGGTTCATTGCTTAGGAGGAGAATTTGTCTGGTTAATTCTTAGTCAACCTTGAGCAATTGAGGATCTCTAGGAGCATGCTTTGAGTAAAAATGGGAGGGAAAATTTTAGGGTACAACAGTTTCCCCTGTTCAATCTTCTTAAACCTGAGGATTTAGATTGGCTTGTCGGTCTTTCGTGATGTGAAGGTGAAAGATGATTAAACACTAGAGTGCCCAGAAATTTGCACTCACATGAAGTAATATTGTTGGTTGATGATGTCGGGAATGAGCTTATAGATGCCATTTGGAGAAGATGACCGAGATTTTTCAGATATGGGCTTAAAGATGACATCCAAAGCAGATGTTGATTTCACACATGGTCCCCTTGGGGGTTCCTGTTCCTGCTGTCTGAGGAGGAGTCCGCTGGGGAATGTGGGTTTCTACTACTCTCCTGCTTGAGGAAAACTCTGTGGGGAATAAATTCTAGGAACTTCAGTTGTCTAAGGCTCTACTGAGGAGTTATCTCCAGTCTGGAGAGATGAAAGTGTGCTGCTTTCTGGTTGAAATCCAGGCTTCACAGTAACTTGCTGGGGATAAT